GTTACCCTTAGCAAGGGTTCTCAACACTGGCTGCACGTGAGAATCATCTGGGGAGTTTAACAACGACTACGCCCAGGCCCCAGCTCAGGCGAGTTGAATCAGAATACAGTACCTGGGTATTTTTCTATCTCCCTTCGCCTTCCCCCAAGCACAGGTGATGCGAATGTGCAGCCAGGGCTGAGAACCACAGACAGCAGGGCTATTGGCACAGAGCTGCCCACCTGCAGGAGGGGTCATTGTTGGAACTGTTCACAGGCTGAATTTTCGTTTGGCTCAGCTTGCCCCCCATGCCCCCCAATGCCCCCCCAAAACCGCCCCCCTCCCCCATTGCTTGGGGTGAGAGAAACGACCTGACCTTTGAAACTCAGCTCTCTGGCAAAATGAGGCAAGGACAGCCTGGCGGGGAACAGGAAAGGAGGGAGCCAGGTGTCCACACACGTGCTTCCCCTCTGCCTGCGTGCGGAGGCCGGGGTTCTCACACTCCAGTGCGTCACAGTCAAGCTGGGATCATTGTTAAAGGCAGGTGCCTGGGCCCACTCCCGGCATTAGTCAGGTCCAGGGTGCATGGCCCAGGAATCTGCACGTTAGTGGTTCCCAGGTGACTCTGTCAGAGGGTTCATGGCACAAACCCCGAAGCTGAGAGGCCTGCAGGGGGGGCCAGATTCCCCTCTCCTCCCCATCCTGGCTCCAGGCCCAGAAGACTGAATCGGCAGGTCTGAGGTAGCCGCCAGCGGTCAGTGTTAGAATATAGTGTGGCTCTATCCAATGGGGGTGGGGGGGGCTTCCAGGGGGGAAAAGTGCACCTGCCCCAAGTTTTCATTGTATAACAGAAGGTGGAAGCGAAGCAGGAAGGGCCCTTGGCTTGCTTACTCCGTTTCACCAAAAGGGAAGCTGGGGGGTTTTCCTAGGCTGACTGGGGGCCGGAAATGAGGAGCCGGAGGAGCCCAAGCAGCAGCCTCTGGCCTTTCAGGACTTCAGTTTCCGGTGAGTTTCAGTGTGAGGTCTATGGACCAGCATCAGCATCACTTGTGAGAATGCAGATTCCTGGGCCCCACACCCTACTTCCTGGCCAGACTCTCTGGGAGTGGGGCCCTCAATCTGTGTTAGAACAAGGCCTCGGGTGGTGCTGATGCTGTCCAGGGTTGAGGACCCTGCACGGGAGGCTCAGATGCTTCATGCTCGTGGGCTTAGGGAAGGTTCCCCACCTCTCATTCCCCTCCCGTGGGGACAGGGAGAAGTCGCACAGCACCCCTCCCCTCTCTCCACTAGTCACTGAGAAGGTGCCGAGTGACACACAGGCCACATGGGCCAGAGAAAAGGAAGCCAGGTTCCGGGCAGCTGCCACCTGCCCCGCTGGCTGCTCTCCCAGATGACTCTCGGCTTTGTTTTTCTTTCCTCTCTAAGCCTGGAGAGGGGTGCAGGAGGAGCTTTCCCTGCGTGCCTGCCTAACCCCCCAAAGTTGAGGCAACGCTGGTCCAGACGCCCCAGGCCTGGTTCCACTGTCCTCCCTAGAGATATGGGCGTAGGACTCAGGCTCAGGACACGTCTCCACACTGCCCTCCTCCCGGCCCAGTGCTTCCTTTTCTCTTAAGGTGGGCGAGCAAACACTGCTGCTCTGGGGCGGGCTTCAGTCAAAGGGGCTGCGTCCTGGACCAGGAGAAAAGACCTTCTTTGAAGGGGAGTCACAGTTTGTACCCACACCTCAGGACGGGTTCTGGCCAGTCCGGGCTGCTACAGTGAAATGCCAGGCTGGGTGGCTAAGTAACAGGCATGTGTCTCTCTCGGTTGTTGGCTGGAGAGAGGCTGAGTCGGAGGCTGAGGCCCAGGGCGAGGACGGGCCCAGGGGGACAGGCGAGTTACCCAGCCCTCCTCCCTTCTCCAGGCCCAATGTTGGACCTCCTTCCAACATTCTGATCAAACAGCAGCACTAATGTGCTCTAAAGAGGGCGTCACTGGGATCCAGACTAATCCAGCCCTGTTGTCGGGGTTCACTATAGTCTTTAAATGTGTTACAAGAGAGTTCACAACATTGAAGCAAAACTTTGGGGGCGTACTTGGGTTAAATTAAAAGCACAATTTCCTATTTTCTTGTCAAATGACTTTTACTTTGAGGCAACAAGTGAAATATAATTTAACTCAACAGGAAATATCACACTTGGAGGGAAAACATAGAAAAAACACACACCTTAAAGCCAAACATTCTTTCCAAGGGCCAGCGCTGACATTTCCAGACTGACAGCAGAATGAGCGTTTCCATGAAACAAAACTGTGCGTCCAAGTCTGGCTTGGAAAGTTTTCCACTTCATCGCCACTTCTCACGGCTCAGGGCACGATGCTTGTGGCCTTCCGCAGGGCCAGGTAGCCTGTGACAACATCGGAGGGCAGCCTCCGAATGTAGGAAAACTCTTCGATGGTGCTGAACCGCAGCTTGCTCTGCGGGTCAGTGTAGTTGGCCTGAGTGGGAAGCAGGCACAGAGAAGGGCAGAGAGCTGTTGGTGGTGACTATTTTAAGTTCAAGTTTAATTTTTTTTTTCTATTTTACTGAAAGTGAAATACATCTTCATCATGTCTTACTCTGTTGCCAAGAACACTAAATTGCGCACTTTGGCGAAGACGTGTTAATCCTCCCAGACTTAAGACTTCAGGGAATGAATGGGAGGAAGAGGAATAACCACATCAGATTCTACGACTCTTGTGGTTGGTGCCTCAAGGGCTACAAAACTGAATTCATGATGATCATCCCTGCCTTCAATCTCCCACCTGCTTCAAACAAATGTTGCAGATCTGTTCCCAAGGCAGGGAGCAGCACCTCCATGCCCCTCCCTGCTGCCTTCCTCCTACTCCAGGGCATCCCTCTCCTACCCTTCCTCACCCTCCCTGTGCCACTTCCACGGCTCCCAGGGCTCCATGGCAGTGCTGGGCTAGCCACCAACACCCACTCTTCCACCAGGAGGGACAGCCATCCTACAACTTGCAACTACAGCAAGGCTCATCTTTGCAACTTGCAATTCTGGTCGTGTCCTTTATGAAACCTCTCAGTGGCTCTTCTCTGTTTCCGGGACAAAGGCCCCAGTCCTCAGCATGGCTCCAATGTCCCTGCCAACTCTTCCTCAGCTACATGTCCTCACTCGCTGTCCCAATTCCCAGGCTCCAAGTCTCTCCCTCCGGTTCTGCTCCATTTTCCCTTTCCTTGGAAGGGGCCCCCACCCTGGCTCACTATGCTCAGTAATCACCCGTCCATCATATAGGACTCAGCCCCCAAAGTCTTGTCATCAGGGAAGCCTTATCTGCTCCCGACAGGAGGTCAGGACCCCACCCTCTCACCTCACCACGTGTGTCCCCTGTGGGATGCTTATCGCTGTTGCTTTTACATATATTATCTGCATGAGCCTCTGATTAACGCCCAAGCTCTGAGGCTCCCTGAGGCAGGAACCCTGTGGTGTGCTTATCACTGAATCCTGGCTCCTAGTGCAATGCAGAGCACAGTAGGCCTTCAGGCAGTGTTTGTACCGCAAATAATAGATGAATGAATGAACCACCAAATGGACACTTAGGACCATCACAGAAAAGAGAACCTGTTTCCCACTGACATACCAACATTCTCTTTTGTTCTGTTTTCCCATGTGCAGAGTGGAGAATCTAATTCACCCACTATACATCTCAAGGCACATGGCTTCTTAGATTTTGAAACAAAAGACATGAAGGTGAGTCATCTGGAGCTCCTTTCAGAAAACTATGAGATGCCGTTAAAGTCTAGACGCATAACATCCAGTTACTCAAGTGTGGATGGTGTGCTCATCTCTGTGGGCCTGGAAGCAGCAATGCTGCTTTAATCAGGGAGGGCGTGAAGGAGCAACAGGATGCGGGGAACTGAGTCATAGGTTTCTCATTCGCTAAGTCTCCAATTTTGCCACTGGGATCTCCTTAGGTACTTAACGGCTTCCCGTCAGGAAAATGAGATTATTTCTAAAAAACTAAGATTAATTAAAGCTCTGTAAGAAACAAAGCTCTGATCCTTTGGCTTGATCTAGATCAGTGATGGCGAACCTATGACACGTGTGTCACCCCTGATACGGGTGTCATAGGTTCGCCATCACTGATCTAGATACTGCCTTTCTGTAACACTAGAAAGTAATGTAATAGAGACAGTAATATACAGGAAGGCTTAAACAGAAAGGCAGCAAAAAGCCCCTTCTGAGGCTTCTGGCCATGAGCAGTTAGATGATCTGACTGGCCGGGAGCTGCCTGCAGTTCCCAGCAGGGGTGCAGGCGTGTGCATCTGGCTTTGATC